GCCCCCAACCCCAGAGTTTCCTGTGGCTACGTCTCCCGAGACTCCTAGTGCTCCTCCTGAGCTTGTGACTCCCTGTGCTCCTCCTGAGCTTGTGACTCCCTGTGCTCCTCCTGAGACTCCTAGTGCTCCTTCCAAGCTTCTGACTCTCTGTGCTCCATCCGAGCTTCCTAGTGCCTCCTTCGAGCTTCCTGTGCCAACTGCCGTGGAGCAGCCCCCAGGGTCTGCTGCTTCCCTGCCTCCCTGTGCTCCTCCCGAGCCCGCTCTGGAGTTTCCCTGAGTTTGTCGATTTGGCTCCGCCCCCTGAGTTTGCCAATTTGGCTCTACCCCCTGAGTTTGCCGATTTGGATCCGACCCCTGAGTTTGCTAGTGCTCCTCCAGAAACTCCTAGTGCTCCGCCTCCCTGTGCTCCAAAGCCTGCAGCCGGCCCTCCTGCTGGCCTTCCAGAGCCTCCACGACTCTGCTTCCTGGGCCGACGTCGCTGCCCCCCGCGGCTCCGGCAATTCTTCCTGCGGCAGTGGCGACTGCCAGACCCGCCTCCTCGATTCCGCCTGCTGCGCCGTCGTCGGCCCCCGGACCCGCCTCCTGGAATCCATCTGCTGCACCGTGGCCGGCCCCCAGACTCTCCACAGCAGGTCCTGCCCTGGCCGTGTGTGTTTTTTTTTTTGTTGGCACTGAGTTTTTTTTTTTGTTTTTGTTCCCTGTGGACTCTTGGCCTCCCCCCATCCTGATGGGTTGTTTTTTGTTTAACTGTTTTTTTGGGCGTCTGGTAGCCACCCTTGAGGGGGAGGGGGGGAGGGGGGTACTGTAGTGATCTGTGTTTTTCTGTGTGTTAGAGGGTTTTCTGTGTCCTGTTTTTCCCTGAGTCTCTGTGCCGTCCTGATTGTTCCTAGCTGTGTCTCATTTCCTTGATTACCCTCCCAGTGTATTTAGTCCCACCTGTTGACTTTGTCTGTTGTCGGATCCTCGTCGTGTAACGTCTTGCTGCCTGTTGTTCTGTTCTGTGGTTTATTTATTAAATCTTCATCATCATCATCATCATCCTGGGTCCTGTCTGCGTCCACCCTCACCACTCAACCTCACAAATCATGACAGTGTCGTTAATTCGATTAGTACAGGTGATTCGTTATTGTCATCCAACCATTTTTTGTCAGAAACATAACATCAGTAATATGTTCAGTGATCAGTAATATGTTCAGTGATGAAGTCATTTACTAATAGACCTTTAGCTGATAATAATCCAATGTTTAAAAGAGCCATTTAAGTGACTTGGTGGCAGATAGCTCCTGAATTTCCAGTTGTTTTAGTCAGGAGATGAGACTGAGGTTTGAATTGAGACCACTTTATTTTGTATTTCTGTTTTTTGTAATTTTTCTTTTAGTGATTCAGACAAGTACTGTCCTCTTTTGTAGTATGGGGAGGCCAGAAACATTCTGGAGGAAAACAAGTGTAAACAAAATGTTGGACCCCGGTTTCAGACCTTAGACACACAGAGTGGTGGATCCTCTGGGCAGTCAGTGCCAGGTGGCTTAGATGAAGTAAAGTCTGCTGTGTGAGCATTCAGTATAAAAGTACTGAGAAGAACTTGTTGGTTCATTCCATCTGTAAATTTGAGAAGCTCAGGTCCTGAGAAAACATTTCTTCAGAGGTGTCTTGTGACTTCTTTGAATGAGTGGGAAGGCAGAAGAGAGGACAGACCATTTGATCTGACTCCAGTTGATGTTTTGTCAGTTTGTTTTGGAATAATTTGTTCCTTATATGTGGAGGATTGCATCCTAATCAGCTGTCCTTGAGCCTGTTCTTCTAAGGGGGTGATCACGTTGTTCTTGTTGATAAAATGAAAGGATTACAGTGAGCAGCTTTATCCCATGTTTATTAAGATTGCGTCTGCCTCTTCCAAAGGCAGACGCAATATCCAGCTGATCAGTGGTGAGAAAGAGTGTTTTCTTTGTTAAAGGACATCACTCTTAGCGTTGCAAAAATGACTGATTCCATTTACTGCCTCATCTCTGACAATGAGCACTTATCTTTTATTTTCCTGATGTTCACTTTGGGGGGTTGATGTATTGATCTTGCTCCATACCTGTTGTTGATGTTTGATGGCAAGGTTTCCCACAGAGGTTCCTGCTGAATTGCAGAAAATCTGTTTTTCAGTGAGTTTCCCGTGGAATCAGAATGTGTTGAGTTTTGTGCTGTCACTTTGTCCTTAGAAGCGGGTCGGTGGAGTTGTTTCGGTTCCAGCTGCTTGTTTATTTTTCTTTAGTGGAGCAGGTGTTGAAGTCGAATGTGGGTTTTGTCTCACAGCTGGCCATTCTGATTCGTCTAGGTTCTTCCTATTAGTCGCCTTCAAATGGGAAACTTTTCTTCCGCTTACTTCCCAGAGAGGTCCACAGTGAGCTGCTTGGTGCGGGGCGTACGACCTCACCGTTGATTTGAGGAAGAGTTGCTTTATTTTCAGAAGGCAGGATTTATCTAAAAGTTCACCTTTAGCCGTTGAATCTTCATTTCTATTGACTGAAGTTGTCATATAATACTGGGCTGGTCATTATTTTGAGTCATTTGTAGAGTTGAACCTGGGTTGACCTCTGCAGATTGGAACCTATGTATAATACTGCTAATGTCCCCAGGGTCGGTCAGAGGCATCTTCCCCTGATTCAGCTTGGAAGTGGAAAAAGTAGAGTTAAAGTTCAAAGTAAAAAATACCCATAGTCCTTCGGTTGGAAGTAATCCAGTTATGATGTTGACAGTGTAAGCATAATTATAAAAACTGTGACTTTAAAATAACTCATAGGCAAAGTTATTAGTAACGACGAAAGAGAGCAGGATAAGCTGTTCCTCCTTCAGCTGACATCTGACACAGGAATCCAGCTCATATTTAAAGGCATCTCCTGACCTGCAGACCTCCAGCTGCAGGTCCTATGACCAGCTACACCTGCCTGACTCATCCTGTAAGAGAAAAGGTAGGACACACACAGCATTCAGCTTGGTGGATTCGACAGGTTGACATTGAACTGCAAAGCAGAGCACACACTGTGGCTTTTAAACTTAGCTTCTGCTTTGATTAAGTACTCTCCAAAAAAACATGTGTCCCCACAGGGGTTCGATATAAATGCCAATACAGATGAGCTTTGTGTCCAGTTTGAGTGAAAGGAGGTGCGTACCAAGGTAAACTTCAGAGACTCAGCCGTGGCAGTGCACTAGGCAACTAACGCTTACGGATACTGATGGTGTGATTGGTGCGTTCTCCTTGCTTCGTGCCCTGTTCAGTACATCAAGTAAAAGGCCAATCTTTCAGGAACAATTCCGAACGCTTAGCCTGGCGGGGGTGCAAGTAAAGCCTGACGGCCTGCCATGCTTATAGTACACTTTGGGACATCTTGTTTCATATCAGACAGAGGGCTAAACCTCTCGGCCTTCAGCTTCCTTCAGGAGCAAAAGCTTGTTGTGGCTTGCTTCTTTTAAATTTTCATACTTGGGATTCACAATAATAAACATAGAGATGCTTACGGGGAATACTACAATTTAATTGGAAGGTTTGTGCATTTGTATAAATATTACTATTTTTTTGTGTTCCAGGGTGGTATTTTGATACTGACAGGACCATCAGGCTCTGGAAAAACTGCGACAGTCCAAGTTCTGTCTACGAAGTTGGGTGTCAGAGTTCAGGAATGGACTAACCCAGCAAGTGCAGAACCACACTTGGGCAGTTTGTCTGGTGAGGAATAAGCACACACTTTTGAGACTAATAAGAAGGGTTTGATTGCTCTATTGTTAATAAGATTGTGTCTATTGAGAAGGGCTTAGTCATTTCTCTATTTTAAAAAAAATTAAATAAGTCTAGTCAATTAAATATTTTTTATAAATATTTCTCTTACACCATTCTATAACATTTTACATATTTATCTTTTTCTTTATGAACCAAAGATGTTGGTTTGATTAAAATTTTTAAAATCTCTGCCAGAGGTATAGATAAATATATTCTTAACTATTTAAGTTACACATTTTTCTGACTGATGACTTTGTTCTGAGTGCCGAGTTCTGCTATGGCTCTTTGTCTCTGCAGCCACTTGATGTTTTGTGTTCAATACTTTATTAATGCTTTATGGAATAACAGCTTATTATAGTGGATGTTTTTCAATAAGCACAGATGGTTTATTAAATAAATAAATATGGCACTCTGACTGGCTGCAGTATTTATGCACTAATCCTTTTACATAATATTTTAAAGCAAGTGCTGATCTTTTAATCCTTGGTGGTTTGCAGATAAGACAATGCTAATATATAAAGGTGGTCTTTAAAAAACGTCTGTTGTTTGCTTCCCCATGAGTGTTTTGAGCTGAAAATTTTTGTTTAAAATGTTCTTCTTGTGGCTGCTCCTCTTTGAGGCTCCAAATTACCTGCATCCATCTCACCTTGTCGTTCGTCTTGTCTAAGGTTAGGTCTGGTGAGGAAGGGTACCATTTCATTATTCTTTCATCTTTAAAGCCTTTACTAGCAAGCTACATTACATAGTGGAGTACTTTGTTGCATGTGATGCAGCTTTGTCCTGCAGAAAATTCATGGTCCTCTTGAAAGATGCAAACTTTTTCATGTAGCACTGCTTGAAGAAAGCTGGCTATAGGTTTAGAAGTTGATTTTAAGTACATCTTCAACCAGAAAAGGTCCAACTATCTCATCTTTAATAATATCATACCAGTACCCTGCCTCTACCTTGCTGGCATCTGCTATATAGTGGAGCTCTGTGCCCATTACTGATCCAGCCGAGGGCCCATCCATCTGGTCTGTCAAGAGCAGTGATGTCAGTAACGCATTACTTTGTAACACGTTATTGATTGCGGACCACTTTTTTCAGTAACTAGTAATCTAACGCGTTGCTATTTCAAATCCGGAAATCAGATTAAAGTTACATATCCAAATCACTGTGCGTTACTATTTTCTTTTGTAATTATTAATTTTATTGTGTGTCTTGGGGAGCGACCACTGTTTCTGTCCATCAGTTATCAGCAGTGAAATAAATGTAAACAATGGAGAGGATGGAGATGAGCATTTTGTTGCTGGAAAAACAGGAACTACTTTGAGTTTCTGTCACCAAGTCTAATTATTATATTACTATTACAGCTTTGGGCTTGTTTTTTATTTTTTTTTATTTTCTAAAGTTGCTTGCAAATTTGATGAATCGCAGGTTGCGGTTTTTTGGGCTTGTTTTTGAACGTGAGGTTGCTTAATTCGGTTTTGAAATAAGCAGAGACACATAATCAGCCCCAGAATTTGTCTGACAACCAGTTAGATTTAGTCAGGCCTTGCAGGTCTATCCATTCCCAGATGATCCATCTCGCTGTGTCCTTGTTAATGTTGATATATTACCTGTCAATGAGTTGAGCTTCGTGTTGCGCTCCAGAAAACTGCAAACATCGAGACTATTATGAACAGCACAATAAACGTGAAAACAGCCACGAATGAATGTATCCGTAAAGTTGTGCAACTAAATGTCAGTATAATAATTAATATTAAGGTATAATAATTTATATTAAGGTAAGTGTCACAAATCTGTGCAGCGGGTCATCAGAGTTGTGGAGCCGCAAAAGGAGTTCTGTGTGATGCGCTCTTACGGCACAGGGTGTCGGCAGGGCCGTAACACAAAATCTGGACACTGGGGCAGGGAGGGAGGCGTTAAAATCCTACTTATAGTTTTCCAGACAATAGTGAACTACACAAAAAGGTCCAACTATCTCATCTTTTTTTTTTGTCCTGTTGTAACCATTAAACAATCTCCCCTTCAGTTCAACCTTATAAGTGGAGACACATTGTTGATGTTACCATTATAAAATAACTTGTAATTAAGTATTGGCAAAGATCAATGTAATATTCACAGGTGGTGGAGCGTTGTTGTTAGCAGCTGCTTAAAGTAACTAAAAAGTTACTTTTATGTAACTTAGTTACTTTACAAGTCAAGTAATCTGATTAGTTACTTTTTCAAAGTAACTATGCCATCAGTGGTCAAGAGTCACTCTCATCTCAGCCTAAAAAAAAAAAAAAAAACTGAGAAAACTGTCTTCAGATCTGTCTTGGTCCAGTCTTTATTTTCAACTTGTATGTCTTGTTCAGTGGCGGTCGGGTTTCAGCCTTCCTTACCTTGTCTCTGAGCTCTGAACATCTTGTTCTTCTGGGACCTCCAAATAGGTTGCAGTTCTGGAATATGACAGCACTGGAAGATAATGGGTTGCTGGTAGCTTCACACTTGATTCTTCTCAAACCTTTGGCAGTTAATTTGTCTTTTTTTTTCTCAACACGTTTCTTGTGATCTTATTGACTATTTGCAGCAAAACATTTGATGGTTCTGTGAACACACCCTAATATCTTAGCTGCATCCTCTGGAAAACCTTTTACAATTTTGGACTTTTCAGAGTCACTTAAATATCTCTTTTTTGGCCCATTTTGCCTGAGGAAAAGAAGCTGCCTAATAAATATGCACACCTTGATATAGAGTGTTGATCTCCTTAGGCCCCACCTTCTCTCAAGAAGCAAATACACATCAGCTGATATGTTTATATTCAATAAGCATTCAAGGTTATACTGCTTGGAGTTTGAAAATGTGCATAAAAATAATATGGTCAAAACTAAAACTTTCCTAATAATTGTGCACAGAAAGTATGAACCCGTCTTTCGGGAACGATTCTGCTCTGCCAGCGATAAACACAGCAAGGACACTTGTAATCCAGCTTATATAAAAACAAAGCAAACTTTTTAGCCCTGCGGGGTGGGGGCAAGTAAAGCCTGGCTTATAATACATTTAGGAAACCCTGATGGACTATAACCTGCCCTTTTCCTCCAGCTTTTGAGCCGTTTGAAAGGTAGTGTTTCCTTTGTTAGGAGTTTTTTCATCTCTCATAACTAGTTTCAATCCTCAGCATCTAACACACCAGACTAGTCTAAAAAGATTTCGAAAAGACTTGGAGTACCCACTTCACAAAATGGTTTCAGTAGATTGTCCCAAAGCCTCAGAGCCACCACTTGAAAATAAAGCAGTAGATAAAAGGTTTTCACTACTTTGTATGAAAAGTTTTCACTAGTGAGAGTGAAAGGTAGAGCTTTTCATCAATGAATATGAACCATTTTCACTACTTTGCAAATCCATATAACCTACTGATTTGCCTTTCAGTAGGTTATATGAAAGGCAAATCTTTTTAGTAGTTCAGTAGTTTTCATTAGTCATTTTGCAAGGCTTTCAGGATATATGAAGGAGTTTGATTTCTTGCGTATATGAACGCTAATTCTAAATAATGTCCATTGTAGCATGCCTTTGCTTTGTACTGTGATTCTGGTTCTAAGAACAGTTTCTTTCTCCTGCAGAATGGAGATCACAAGGCTTGTCTTGCAGCTCTCAGTTGGCACAATTTCAGGAGTTCCTTCTGAGAGTTAACAAGTACAAATGCCTGAAAATGAAAGGTGAAAGAGGTGCTGCAGAGAAAAAGCTCATCCTGGTGGAGGTATGTACAGTATCTTCAACTTTCCTCAGGTTGTCTGTTTCTACATTTTTTGTATTCTTTGACACAGTGCGAAATTCTGAAAGCAGGTGTTGGGCAAACTTTAACATTGACAATAATTTCAAAGTAAAATAAGCATTCTAAAAAGTTACAATTCTTTTGTGGATTTTGTTTTCTCAATTTCATATTAGCAGTAATTAAGAAATTGAAACACTTATTACATCACCTTTCCGATCCAAAGCACACAAAGCTTAACCCAGGGTGGGTGTGACAAGTCTATTACTCGTCATTTCTGTCTGGAAAAAGATGAGTATCAATATTAATAAATAAGAACACAGTGTTTCCCCTTAAGGATGGTGATATACTGTATGACATAGTTTTATGTATATACCAATTACATGATTATTATATGGCAAAGGCATATTGATAGGATCTGTTTACGCTCAAATCACTCAAAGAAATGAATCATTAACTTAACATAATTTTTTATGTCAACAGGTTCCACATAATTGTATTAATTGAAAGCAAAACAGATATTGTAATGTGAGATTATGATTTTTTTAAGATAAAATTAATGAATTAACTCAACTAATTCAAATAATTTCAGATTGACAAGATAGAAGGTAGTTGAACTAACTAAACTTTTTTGTTAGTCTGACAAAGCAAACACTCTTTCAGTGAACTTATGTTTCATTTGTTCACTACACAGAAACAAATTAACAATTTGCTTTCATCAATCAATATATTTCTTAATTCAACAATTTTTTTTTCAAGTTAACTTATTCCTGTTAACTTATACCAGTCGACAAACTCAAGTTTGTAGGTCTTGAGTTTGTCGACTGGTAAGTAGGTCCAGGGGCGGATCTACTGGGGTAGCAGGGGGTGGCAATTGCCACCCCAACTGAGAGCCTTGCCACCCCAGCTGGCGACTATGTATTCAACAAATAGTTATGGCAAATCGGACATTAAGTGCATGAATGTCTTTATTCCGACAACATTGAATGCAACACAATGTAACCTGATACCTGCTGCTGAGTAGCAGGAAGTGTGAGAGAAACTGCAAAGACAGAGAGCGAGGCAGACGAAGCTGAAGTTGGTTTCCCATTCCAGTTTCTGATTCGGGAAATGGCTAAAGGGCGATTCCACCTAATTTTTCACAACCTTTCGCATTTTTAATCGACTCTAGTTTAAAAACTACAACACCTAGACGCTTCAAACCTGGACTGGATTATTCTGCTCTAATAGCAGAATATTTATAACCATGTTTGGGATTTGTAAAACCTTTTTCTGTTTTGTGAAACTTCAATAAAGGGCATTTTTTTACCCCTTTTTTTGTCTTGGTCACACAAGATCTGCTCTAATTCCAAAACCACAACACCTATACTCTTCAAACTTGGACTAGATTATTCTGCTCTAATAGCAGAATATACAGAACCATGTTTGTGATTTGTGAAACCTTTTTCTGATTTGTGAAACTTCAAAAAGGGGCGATTTCACCACTTATTTTATTAACGGTCTGATCCTCGGCTGCAGAAGCTCTTGGGACATGGAACGTTACCTCTCTGGTGGGGAAGGAGCCGGAGCTAGCGTGCGAGGCTGAGAGGTTCCAGCTAGAAATAGTCGGCCTCACCTCGACGCATGGCTCTGGTTCTGGAACCAATCTCCTTGAGAGGGGCTGGACGTACTTCCACTCTGGAGTTGCCCGTGGTGAGAGGCGCCGGGCAGGAGTGGGCATACTTGTTGCCCCCCATCTTGGCGCCTGTACGTTGGGGTTTACCCCGGTGAATGAGAGGGTAGCCTCCCTCCGCCTACGGGTGGGGGGACGGGTTCTGACTGTTGTCTGTGCTTACCCCACAATCGTGTTGTGAGTGGTTTGCAGCCGAGTGTGAAGCGGCCGGGATGAGGATCAGTGCCTCCAAATCCGAGGCCATGGTCTTGAGCCGGAAAAGGGTAGAGTGCCTTCTCCGGGTCAGGGGGGTCGTCCTGCCTCAAGTGGAGGAGTTTAAGTATCTGGGGATCTTGTTCACGAATGAGGAAAGAAGGGAGGGGGAGATCGACAGGCGGATTGGGGCAGCGTCTGCTGTGAAGCGGGCGCTGTACCGGTCCGTCGTGGTGAAGAGAGAGCTGAGTCAAAAAGCAAAGCTCTCGATTTACCAGTCGATTTACGTTCCCACCCTCATCTATGGTCATGAGCTTTGGGTCATGACTGAAAGAACGAGGTACCGGATACAAGCGACCGAAATGGGTTTCCTCCACAGGGGTCTGGGCTCTCCCTTAGAGATAGGGTGAGAAGCTCGGTCATCCGAGAGGGACTCAGAGTAGAGCTGCTGCTCCTCCACGTCGAGAGGAGCCAGTTGAGGTGGCTCGGGCATCTGGTCAGGATGCCTCCTGGACGCCTCCCTGGTGAGGTGTTCCAGGCACGTCCCACTGGGAGGAGGCCCCGGGGAAGACCCTGGACACGGTGGAAGGACTATGTCTCTCAGCTGGCCTGGCAACGCCTTGGGATCCCCCGGAGGAGCTGGAAGAAGTGGCTGGGGAGAGGGAAGTCTGGGCCTCCCTTCTGAAGCTGCTGCCCCCGCGACCCGATCCCGGATAAGCGGAAGAAAATGGATGGATGGATGGATGGAAATTTTATCATTATTGTGATTGTCAGACTCTCTTTTATGCACTAATGCATTTCTTCTACTTCTCAATGCATATTTATTCTTCTCCAACTTCATGTTCTGACTTTTTCTCACATTATTAAGAAACGTGTTTATGTCATATATTTTTCAACAAGAAGCTTTGCATTCCTTTACTTTTCCTTCTTATTTGTTCTTTCCAGGATTTTCCAAACCAGTTCTACAGACAGCCTTGCAGCTTTCATGACACCTTGAGGTGAGTTCCGGCAGCAATCAGGCCGGTGAGTGTTTAGAGGTAGTGAACTCAGGTGTGATAAACCACAGTTATGTTTTAATGGGGAGGCGGCAGCAATCAATTTTTCACACAGGGCTATGTAGAGTTTTTTCTGAGATTATTTACAAACATCTTCATTTAAAAGCTAAATTAAAAATTTGTGTTGTCATTTACT